ACCTGCTCCACAGCCGGGAACCGCTGCCGTACCGGAGGCGGCGAATCAGCCGCTCCTGAAAGACCTGCGTTTTCGTGATAAGCTCCGCCTGGGGTGGCGCTCGGTTCTCTCGGATTCCGACTTCTTGCGTAAGCTGCAAAATCACTGTGTGCTCTGCAATCAGTGGGTCTCGCTTAAGGGACCAGGCACTAAACAGCATCTTCGGTTGTCCCATGCCACGGAGTGGGCATTCAAGGACGATGCTAACAGCCTGTGCTCATCAGCTGGATCAGTAGCTGCCTCTCCTTGTGCTTACTGCAGCGGGACCTTTCAGGACCCGCGTGCACATGTTAAGCGCTGTCCAGTTGCATTCCAGGCTGCCTTTGCTTACCTTTGCCTCGCTCAGGAAGATGGAGGCGGAGGGAGAGGACAGAACACGGGCAGTGGCCCTCCAGGAGATGAGAGATGTTTGGGGGGGGGACCGCTCCGCTCCCTGTTCCGAAGGCGGGCCAGTCGGAGCAAGAGCCACACAAAAGGCCGCCGGAGGAGGACCGAGAGCCAGATCGCCCGGACAAGTGGAACAAGCCGGCCTACAAAGGACGTCAGGGGAAAGGACAGTCTTGGGGCGGCGGAGGTTGGAGGACGTGGGAGAATACATCCCAGGACCAGCCGATGGACAATGCCACTCGTCACCTCCTTCGAACTCTTGTGAAGACAACGCTGCGACTGGACGAGGACGTGAGCCGGCTCAGAGCAGATTGCAATTTCATGCTCTTCGTGGACAGTGTGACGGAGACGAACACACTGCAGACTCTGAGAGAGGCAGCTCAGAAGTGGCAAGAGGCCTTTGTGGAGAAGAAGGTGACCACTTCTCTCCGCGTGATTCTCTTTTGCGGGTTGGTGAAGCGTCTCCGCGAAGCAGTGGAGCAAGTCCAAACGGACGACGAGCTCAAAGATCGTCTTCTTCGCGTGGGGTGGTTAGAGGACGGCGTCAATGCTCTCCTGCCGGCCTGGCATTATTTTCGATGGGACGCTGCCGCACAGCGACAGGTGGTCTCGGAACGGCCACCCCTGACCCAGGACCGCCTTCTGAAGTGCCTGGATGTTCTGGAGAAGGGCTGCAGCCCCCCCACAGTCCTCCTGAGGTTCCGCTCGACGCACAAGCTGGGTCAGGAGACGCAGGCAGACGTGGTTCCGTTCATGCTTTCCATCAGCCTTCGGACCTCGGTATCCCACGAATGCCACGAAGCTTTGTCAATTCTGGCATACAGCGGCGCCTTGAAGATGCTTGGGCTTCGGCTGCGCCCAGAAAGGGCGCAACAGTCCCAGATGGCCAAGGAGTTGACCGAGGCTTATCTGACGGTCCCCTACACGGACTGGACCCGTCGGCCGGCCCCGTGGACACAGCAACAGCCGCTGCCCACCGCAGATGCCATGGAGAAGTAGGGCCGGGGACTCATTCCTTGCAGGCACGGCTTAGAACCAGTCACTTTGAGGACCTTAGGCAAAGCGGGTAGGACCTATTTACCCGGCTGCTTACCCTGGAGTCCCGTACTTCGAGCTTGGCCTAGGCTTCGCTTGCAAAATGATGTCGGGGAATTTATGCAACATCTCCTCCAGTGTGCAGCGCCTAGAGCATACCACGGTGCATGGCAGTCCCGTACCAGTAACCCTCTCACTGTGGAGGATGGGGGTCCACTCAATGCCCCGATTTTGCTCGACTTGCAAGGGGACACCATGCAAGATTTGATTGATGCTTGGTCCTCCCAGCCAGCTGTGCATGCGCTGGACTCACATTCGGGGATTGTACTCCTACAGCTTAAACGCTACTCCAGTCCTGGAGGAGTGCCTACCAAGAACTTTGCACCTGTGCATGTAAAGCCGGGGGAGGCACTTGCTGTTCCCGTGTTTGCTGTCCCAGACAGTCTGGAACTGCTGTCACGCCAGTTTCGTGTTGCTTTTGTCATATACCACCATGGTGTTTCACCACATGGGGGTCACTATCAAGCTGCTCTAAGCATGCCCAGCACACAGGATCTTGCAGGTGAATGGCAGTTCTATGTCTGCAATGATGGCATTGTGCCGAAACGTGCCGCCTCGGCGGAACTCAACGACATTTTACACAATGCGTGTCTAACTGGCCTGGTACGTGGGGATGAACTCCATTGCCGCTGAACACCGATGTGTGTTTATGCAAGCCCTGCTGCCGACGAGCAGCCACGACTATGAGCTGTCGGCCTCAGCCGTGCAAACAGCCGTGGTCATGCGTCTTTGCAATTGCATGTTTTTGTTGCTCTTTTCTCGGAAAGTGTTCTGTGTCCTGCTGTACAGTTGTTTGTGCATGCAGCAGCTTCTCTCTCTTCAAGCCAAAGGTTGAGGCGTGCGGAGCCTTAACCTCTTGGGATTGCTAGGGCATACGTGCCGGATCCCATATCCTTGTGCCGGCCAGCCGCTCAGCCCACGTGTGTTCCACCGCTCTGTGCCCTTGCGAGCCAAGCATAAACGTGCTGTGCAGCCTGGCTCTTTTCGGCAGTGTAGCTTCCCAGGACAGCATGCAGGTTCCTCTCCCCCGCCATGTTTACAATGTTGCACTGGAAGAGTCCCTGCTGCTACAAGCGTACAGGACCTTGTGTGGTGTCTATGTGGGTCACCAATGTCCACCGGTGATCACAATGTCTAGCCGGAATGACATCCTGGAGCTTGCACACCGGCACCTGGAGCCGGAGTCTTATGAGGCCATGGTGCAATATGCTGCATCACTGGATAGGCACCTCAACTGTGATGTGGTGGTTGGCTTCCCCAAGCCGATCGGCTCGCTAAGCCCGAAGGCTACGGAGGCTGAGCAGCTTGCCTGGCATTGTCTGGCGGAAGGTAGTGGTTCTATCTGGGCCTCTGTGCGCTCTGTCGTGGCGAAGCTTCCCTTTGACAGGGATACTCGCCGGTTCTCCAAAGGCTTCATTTGCACATTGGGGCTTATGGCGAAGCGAGGCGCCCATGGCCTTACTCGCCAAACTGGTGGACATCTTAATGTCTGCAGGCTGATCAATCAGCTCGTTTTGGCAATCTGCCCGGGCCTTCGGTGGAGCAGCCT